CGTTATAAAAAGGAAAACTAAACCCCAGAGAATGGACAACGCCAAGAGTGAACGCTCGTGTAAACTCTGGGCTCTTGAGTGGCTGATGATGACGCCTCAGTGTGGATTCATCCACTGTAAGCGATACACCAGCTTTGCCACGGATGGTCGGATGGTCGATAGGCTTGTGGGGGAGTGGGAAGCTCTCAGGGAGCGGGCCTGTGCCTCTGAGTGTTGGGGGGGCGGAGCAGGGGCCAGTGAGCAGTGAGCGATGGCAGAGCAGGCGTCCTGTGGGTACTGCCCGTACTCTCCAGTGAATTTGGCTGTGAACCCCAAATCGCTCAAAATAAGTAAATAAGTAAGTAAGTTAATAAATACAAACAAAGCCCCATGAAGCGCGCGCGCGCGCGCACACACACACGCACACACACGCACACACACGAAGGAACAAGCGCAAAAACAGACAGACAGACAGACAGGCAGGCAGAGCGGATGTGGAGCTGCCCGGGAAATGGTCAAGAAAGAATTGCAGAGATGTGTTTGGTGCAAAAAGGTGCTTTTATTACAGCACGGGGCCAGGACCTCTGGGCAGAAAGAGCCGTGCTGGGATTGTGAGGGGTAACTGGTGATACGGTTTCCAGTCAGTGGGGGTTAGGGATAAGGTAAGTCTCGAAGGAATGTGTGTATGCTGCGAGCAAGGTCTCCGAGACCTTGCAGGGCTACCCACTGTCAAGGTGAGGGGAGTCCCTCTTGTTTTAGCAAAGCATTAGTCATGAGACCCTTTAGATGTGTGTCTGTGGACCAGGTGTTGGAAGGGGGATGTTAGCATATCGTGGGCATTTGTGGCTATCGGAGTGAAGTGACACTGACTAGAGCAAATCCTCATGGGTAAAACACTGAACAAAATCCTTGAGGGAGTTGTAGGGGTGTTACACCCTGTAGGTGTGTCAGGGATTCATCAGCGGGTTACAAGTGGTCAGGAGACCTTGCTGTCGCCTCATTTCTCTTGCCTTGGCTCTCTTCATCTGGTCTGAGCGACATTCCAGGTGGACATTCTCACCACTGGGGTTGGGGTGGGGGTGGGTGGTGGGTGGTGGTGGGTGGTGGTGTTGGGTAGTGGTGGTGGACACACATTCTCCTCTACCTGCTTAGGGTCTGTGGCTGGGCCTAGGATGGCGACCGACAGAAGAGCTTC